CATGAATACATAATGTTTATGACTACTTCTTGACGCATGAATACAGAATGTTTATGACTACTTCTTGACGCATGAATACAGAATGTTTATGACTACTTCTTGACGCATGAATACAGAATGTTTATGACTACTTCTTGACACATGAATACAAGTGGTCAGTATGATGTTGTGAGAATACGAAAACAATGAACATTTGTATGATATAGACAAAGTAAGTAAGAAGTTAGTATATTAAAAAGGAAACATAAGTACATATACAAGATGGTGATAAACCTGAAGTGGTATTTACAAGACATACATTCAGCTAAGGGTTCAGCTAATAAACAATTAGAAACACGTAAGATTATTAGATATGAAAAACTTATTCTTTGGTCTTTGGCCAATGGTCAAAGGAGGTCAACTTGTTAATCGGTTGGTCAAGTGATGGAAGCACAAGGTGGACACACCATTCTCTCACCTTTACACAGAAAAATAAAATAGCTCTTTTACAGCAAAATATGAGCTAACAAAAATGATGTACAAAATAAATACTATCATAAAGAAAGAATATAAAACTACAGATTCCTGCATCTACGAAAATACTTGGTCATGATACTTCAAAGATTCCGGTATCTGCAAAAATACTTGGTCATGATATTTCAAAGATTCCTGTATCTACAAAAATACTTGGTCATGATACTTCAAAGATTCCTGTATCTACGAAAATACTTAGTCATAAAACTTCAAAGAATCCTGTATTTACAAAAATACTTGGTCATGATACTTCAAAGAATCCTGTATTTACAAAAATACTTGGTCATGATACTTCAAAGATTCCTGTATCTTCAAAAATACTTGGTCATGATACTTCAAAGATTCCTGTATCTTCAAAAATACTTGGTCATGAAACTTCAAAGATTCCTGCATCTTCAAAAATACGTGGTGTTGATACTTCAAAGATTCCTGTATCTACGAAAATACTTGGTCATGATACTTCAATGATTCCTGTATCTTCAAAAATACGTGGTGTTGATACTTCAAAGATTCCTGTATCTACGAAAATACTTGGTCATGAAACTTCACTTGAGAATTAATATTCTTGAAGAACTCATTCTACAATTATAAATTCTTTAGTTATTTTATTTCTCACTTACTCTTTATAATATAATTATAAAATTATCAAACACATTTTGTAATATATGAAAACCAGTACTTGTTTTATTTAAAGAAGGTTTTGTTTTGAATTTCGTGCAAAGCTACACCAGAGCTATCTGTGCTAGCCAGCCCTAATTTAGCATTGATAGACTAGAAGGAAGGCAGCTAGTTAACAACCACCCACTGCAAACTCTTAGGCTACTCTTTTACCAATGAAAAGTGGGATTGACTATCACAGCATAATGCCCCCATATCTGAAAGGGCGAGCATGTTTGGTGGTGGGGATTCAAACCGTGACCCTCAAATTGAGAGTTAAGCTCTTTAACCACCAGACCATGATTTATAGTAAAAGTACTTTGTGCAAATTCACAAGAAAAACAGTGATAACATAACAACATAATCATGTGCAAATGTTTAAAGAATTATCAAAACTCAACTAGTTTTGACAGACCAAGATTGTCATTCACAAGGAAAAGTGTAATGACCTGAACATGATAATCCACTGTCCACTCTTTTTTTTGTGACATTTTTTAACATGTGGTCAAGTAAGTCATTAAGTTTTTTTTTGTTTTTTTTATAGCTGCCTTTGTTCTTAGTCATTCTCTTGAAGTAACACCTAGTCTGCCCATGGGGGGGATGGCTGTAATGCATAAAATGTCAACAGCAATGTTTTCCAATGGTAGTTCAGGTGATGCCTCAGAGTTACAACTTATTTAAGTTTGAATTAGAATTACAAGTTGTAGTTACTCTAGGTAAAGTCTGACATTACCTTGACAGTAAGTAATTTCAGAGTTAAACAGTCTGGTTGATGATCTTCGTCAAGTCAGTCAGATAGAAGTTATATCTGATACAGTAAATGCAACCGTACATCATCAAAAGTAAGTATACGCATGTTGGTGTAAATAACAAAATTGTTCATCTGTTTTATAAATAGTGTCCAGACTCTTTATTTCATCCTTACAAACCCAATTGTTCAAGGAAAATTCAGAACTTTTCTGTGATAGACAACTTGTCAAATCTCCTGTTATTTGGTGGTTCTATCCCATCACTAAGATAATCAGTTTGATCCAAATATACCACATTTTTTATAAGTGGAATAAATAACACATTTTACAAAGTACATCAACCTAGATAATATATACTTTTATTTTCCAACCATAAGGGATCATGACAAAATAAAAATTCTTCCTCTCTATGTATAAATAATTAAGACACTGGTTGTCCCAGAAAGTTTACATTGGATCTATACATTTATTATAACTAGTTTTCATGCATTTTTTAGTTTATGAGTGCTAGTGAAGGAATTATTTTTATAATAAAACAGTACTTCATACATACATTTTTCTTTATCTGCTACAGGTGACAGACATACAAGGATTCTGAAGAAGTACAGGCATGCTCTCCATCACACGAACTAACAAGCTGTCGATATAGTTCTCCAAGTCTCGAATCCTATTTTCTTTAAATTCTAGAACTTTCTCTTGATTAATAGCCAGGTCAACCAATTCCTAAAGGAAGTAGAAAATATAATATATCAATCATTATCACCGGCAATTCGACACGTAAAAATTATTATCATCATCACAGATACAATTTCATTCTAACATTCTAATCATAAAGAAAACAATATCACACAAAACAGTGTAGAATGAAACATTCTTCATGGGATTAATTACCTCATAATGGTTTCAAGAAAAAGTAATGGATCCAACAAGCCTAATATTTTTAATAAAAATCACGTTAAGTTATAGGTTTTTGTTTTCCATATTACTGAATAAAAGATAAAACTAATGTGTTTACATACTTGAAGATTTAGTGACTTTTTTGTTGATCAATGAATTAATCAAACAATGTCTCTAGGAACTAATACAATACTTGTTGAGATAACAATCTGTGTTAACAATGATTCGTGGTTGAATGACTGTTTGTTAAACAATGAATTAATCAAACAATATCTGTAGGAACTAATACAATACTTGTTGAGATATCAATCTATGTTAACAATGATTCGTGGTTGAGTGACTATGTTGAACAATGAATTAATCAAACAATGCCTGTAGGAACTAATACAATACTTGTTGCATTGTTTAACAAACAGTCGCTCAACCACGAATCATTGTTAACACAGATTGTTATCTCAACAAGTATTGTATTAGTTCCTAGAGACATTGTTTGATTAATTCATTGTTCAACAAACAGTCACTCAACCACGAATCATTGTTAACACAGATTGTTATCTAATTAATCAAACAATGCCTGTAGGAACTAATACAATACTTGTTGAGATAACAATCTGTGTTAACAATGATTCGTGGTTGACGGACTAGATGTTGAACAATGAATTAATCAAACAATGTCTGTAGGAACTAATACAATACTTGTTGAGATAACAATCTGTGTTAACAATGATTCGTGGTTGAGCGACTGTTTGTGGAACAATGAATTAATCAAACAATGCCTGTAGGAACTAATACAATACTTGTTGAAATAACAATCTATGTTAACAATGATTCGTGGTGGAGTGACTGTTTGTGGAACAATGAATTAATCAAACAATGCCTGTAGGAACTAATACAATACTTGTTGAGTTAGCACAATATGTACTAAAATACTTGATGATTTAATGACTTATTATTGAACAATGAATTAAAACGAAAATTCTCTATAAGAGATGTCTGTCCTGTCTTGATTAAAAGATTAAACATATTACAGTTATTTGATATTATAGTTAAAATACTTGTTGAATGACACAGTATGCTTAGATTGTTTTTTTTTGGAACACTTGCCTGATGGTTTAAGTTATTATATCTTCTGGAAGTTTCATTAACAGGAAGTGTCGAAGAGAAGTCTTGATGATAAAGATAGCTGATGTACATAGAGTTTTCTGAGACAGAAGTGGCGGGCTCTGGTTTATCAACAGTAGCATGTTCACCCTCACAGGGCCCATGAAAGGTTGGTCTTTGTTCGGCTTAGAATGAGTTTAAAACAAAAACTCTAGTAAACAATATTGTAGAAATAACGAAATCTGTTTCTAACAAAGACATTGAAACTAAAAATAATGAATGATTCAGTCCATGGCTATGTTACATAGCTTGGTTTAATGTAAAAATTAATAACCATAGCACAAACATCACCTAAGCTATGTTTGCGTTAATATAAAAAATAACACATTGTTCAAATAAGCCAATCATCCACAAAAGTTTACATAGAGACAGTGAAGACAAGAAATAGTTAAGTTTACTCCCCTAGTGAGGAAATAGGATAACAGGGCCATAATTAATCTGAGAACAGGCATGAAACCGTAGTGCATATAAACTTCTGTGAGCTCATCTAAAAGATGTGTATCGCAAATGTTAAAGTTTACCATCCACAAATCACATACAGTTTCCAAAATCCTTTCATCTTGAAATGAGATGGATGGATCAAGACACAATTTTGCACAAAAATAAACGAGCAAAAATAAAATCCAGAAAACTCAAAACTAATTGAGTTTGTCATAGATCTTGCAAGCCTTTAAACACTCATGATTTAGCACCAAGAACAGGTAGGAATAAAACCTTGAAAATTTATCTAGAACCACATAAAAGGGTTCCAAACTCCTAATTTAAGAGATGTAGAAGAAGATAAAGAAGTGAAGTGGAGAACCAGATCTAAAGAGAGGATTCAAAGGAAAGGAAACAAAGAAACCAAGAGTTAAAAAAACAAAAACGGAACATTAATTTACATGAAGAACAAAACTAAGAATATCTCATGCAAGAAAGAAATAGGACAAAGAAATGGTGACAAATAGGCAAGTGTGAGACATAAGCAAGTCCAACAATAAGGAATTCCATAAGCAAGTTATTCACATGACAAGATAGCCTCACAGTATAGTCACCACGTTGGGAGAAAGGCAAATCCTTACAGCAAGCATGTGAGTGGGTCATGAAGACAAATCCTTACAGCAAGCATGTGAGTGGGTCATGAAGACAAATCCTTACAGCAAGCATGTGAGTGGGTCATGAAGACAAATCCTTACAGCAAGCATGCAAGTGGGTCATGAAGACAAATACTTACAGCAAGCATGCGAGTGGGTCTCAGTTGAAGAATGGAACAGTTGGAAATAGTAATAATCAGAAACATTAAAAATTAGTGTTTCAGATTATTATAATCTAACAAAGTAACTAAAATATTGTCATGATGATTTCTCATTATTTCAAGGTAAGTTCAACTTAATCAGTTATTTTCACAACTCGTGAAAAAAATCAACCAATCAAATTAGTGTTTCAGATTATTATAATCTATCAAAGTAACTAAAATATTGTCATGATGATTTCTCATTATTTCAAGGTAAGTTCAACTTAATCAGTTATTTTCACAACTCGTGAAAAAAATCAACCAATCAAAAGATTTTAGTCAAGATTCCATTGTCAGTCTTAGTTGTCACCTTAAAGTTATAGCTGATAGTGCCTGTGGTAATAGCTCCCAAATGCATTGGAGATATCCCATCTACCAGACAGAATCCAAACACTTGTGTTAAACTAGCCAGTAAACATGGAAAATCAATTAAGCGTACGGAGTTGAGTGCCAACACCCACGTCTCAACTCCCTACTGCCTTTCACTGTCTGCAGCCAGTTGTGGGAACCTTACCCTAAGTTCTTATACTTCCTCAAGTAGAAATGAAACCACCCTAAAATTTTTACTATATGAAACTCCCAACCTCCACCCTTACAAAATAAATATATAATAATAAATGATCTGAAATAGAACAAAAATATTCGTGACACTATCAATTCCATGCACCACAGACGACTTGGACTACTGAGCATCTACTCGTGACACTATCAATTCCATGCACCATAGACGACTTGGACTACTGAACATCTGCTCGTGACACTATCAATTCCATGCACCACAGACGACTTGGACTACTGAGCATCTACTCGTGACGCTATCAATTCCATGCACCACAGACGACTTGGACTACTGAACATCTGCTCGTGACACTATCAATTCCATGCACCATAGACGACTTGGACTACTGAACATTACTCGTGACACTATATTAAGTGGTCACTCTGAACTAAAGTCAATGAGATGCTATAGTCATGTTGCATCTGTCTTCCACCGTCATCAGGATATAACCGTACCTCTTCCTTGATGTAGCTAACTAGGTTTCTGGTGATGAGAGTAATAAACACTATGTAATTGGCAGATTATTAAAGCTAAGGTTTGTTTCAGATCGACATCACATATACCGATATTCAGATTGTCTGTTCTATCATGACAACTCCTGTAATAAAGTACACTTCCAACTATTGTCATGTACGTAGAATACGCATTCAAAAGAGTAGATGCTCAGTAGTCCAAGTCGTCTGTGGTGCATGGAATTGAATCTTGCCTCAAACTTGGATCTCCACATGTTGCTTTTACTAAACTTGATATATTAAGAACAACTTTGCAACATTACATCAAAAACATGATGATTTACTGTTGCTTATGATAGATAATGTCAGAAAAGTTACCTACAGACCATCGTTGAATCCACATATAGATCTCATTTTAACAGCAAGTTCAAACTTTACACGACTCCCTTCTTTATTCTGAGTAGATTCTGCTTTAATCTAGGAAATTTGTTTACGGTGGTACAAGTAATAACTTTATAAATAAATCAAAACTTTAGTATTCACTAACAAGACCACAAACACACACTCAACTTTAATACTATAAATGATTACAAATATTAGATCCACTGTTGCGGAACACATTTTGACCCTTTCACATGTCCTCTTCTGTTCTTGAAGGAAATCACTCAGCTTATTTGATAACAAAAGTTCCAAATTGTTTCGAGGCACATGTCAGAAAAGGGTTCAGCTTAAGGTGTTTCCATATAAACTTATTGTTCCATAACAGTGAACCTAAACGTTTTTTTTCAATTACTTTAAATAATAATGTGTATTTACATACTATTAGGATAACAATGTATTATAAAGAAAAACAGTGAATCGAAACTTCGAGCACTTGTACAATATTTCATGTGTTGAGCTCAAGCACAAATGTCTTACCATTTCTTGTGATTCTTAGTTTGCGTCTCATGTCTCTCATTGATGGTTTCTGGCCTTCTGTATTGTTGCTATACTGCTCGTCATTGTGATCAGTTGATGAAGCTGTGATATATCAATGAAAATTATACTAGGTGTTTATAAGTTTGGTTTGTGTGCATGTAATATTAATCCCTGGTGCACAGTTGTATTCCAAGCCTGTTATTTGATCAAAGAAAACATTTGTAATGTATAAAATGAAACAACAGTAAGCAGTCAAGCCCTGTACATTAGAAAGGTAAATTTAAAATGTTTTCATAGAAATTTTGGTCAATTAATTACAACATAAAAATCAGCATATCCTACTGTTCATTATTAACATCATACTTAGATTAAAAGTTATTGATTACTTGTAACTGAAAACATGGGAGTAATATTATTATAATAACCTTACTTTTAGGTTGAGAAGAAAACAGCCTCATCCAGTCAGGTGCAGGAAGAGAAAGCTGTCTTTGGGAGGGCACAAGCTTGTCAGTATGTCCTGTAGACACTAATTCAGTGGTGTTTGAAATACTGTTAGTTCGTTGGATATAGAAACTACCCTGTAATTAGATAAAGAAACAATTTATAATCTTCTCCCCCTAAATAAAAAAGGCTTAGACATGAAAGATAATGCTGTTGCTGTTTACTCCTAAACCGGTGAAGGTCTACAAGTCAACAACACTGTCCCTTTTTACTCCTAAACCGGTGAAGGTCTACAAGTCAACAACACTGTCCCTTTTTACTCCTAAACCGGTGAAGGTCTACAAGTCTTGTTGACTTGTAGAGCTTCACCGGTTTAGAAGTAAACAGCGACAGCATTGTTGACCTGTAGACCTTCACCGGTTTAGGAGTAAAAAGGGACAATGTTGTTCACTGTCCCTTTTTACTCCTAAACCGGTGAAGGTCTATAAATCAACAACGCTGTTTCTGCTTACTCTCACCGGTGAAGGTCTATAAATTAACAACGCTGTTTCTGCTTACTCTCACCTGTGAAGATTTATTATCAGTTTCTGTTTTTGAAGAGCTTGAAGACAAATCTTCTAATGAACGTCTGTTTCCTGCAGGTCTAATCAAGGATTTTGATATGGTAGCCAGTTCAGACTGTTGTTTTGAGTGATCCATTTCATCCTAAAGTTAAAGGTTAGAATGAAAACACAAATAAAACTAACATTACTAAGAATACTCTAACATCAAATGACATACCAGCCTTTCAGAAGCAACTTATGTTCTGTTTTATTAAATAAAATAATGACCAATATTTCCAAATAGTATGTTTATTGACTCAATATCTTGCTATTTCAGCTTCGTCACAAGCTCTCAATAACACACAAGTTCACTAACATTAAAACATTCTGGAGGTACAGGTCACTATTTTGTCTACATTCTTGTTATAAATTCTAATTTACATTAAACAAGGTTAATGCTTAAAAAAAATAGTACTGAAGCAACATCAAAAATACTGATCTTCAATAACTTTGCTCAGTTTGACAAATCCAACTATGTACAAAATGTTAAAGTTAGTTTGTAACTTTCCCTCTTCTATGATGGCCTTGTTTAAGCTGATCATTCTGTAAAACATTTATGGTTCATTTCCTCACATTTTCTTCATCAAATTCTGATGGAACAAAGTACGTAAAACGTAGCTCAACTAAAGTTGCGACAACACAGCTAGAACATCTTTTCTAAAAGTAAGAGAACTGAGAAATTAATTAGTAGCAGTTTTGTTTTCATTCCATTTCTAAAAAAAAGGACCAGCAAGTCTTGCAAACAGCAAGAGAACTGAGGAATTAAATAGTAGTAATTCTGTTTTCGCTCCTGTGAACTACTGAATTACAGTGTGATATTTAATAATACGCTAAAACACCATTCATAAACTGTAACAGATTGTACCCAAGAGAAAAGAAAATATCAAATTATCATACCTGTCACTTCTTTATTGTACGAGTGCAAGTATTATGGGTACTTTAATACATGGTAATTGGAACATTTTATTCACAGCCTTATTGTCTCAAACTATTAGAGGAACATTTCCATTTTTTAGAAGAGAAGTAAGAAATTTCTGAGGAAGTAAATAAGATATAATAACTTTAAAAGAATATAAATTTAAGTTTGGATATGATTTCAATGCATAATGAAATAAAACTTTATGACAAGTAACAAATGTACAACATTTCGACAAGCTTTTGTCATCATGATGAAAAAAAAAACCTTGTTGAAACATTGTACGCTTTTAATAATGTTTCTTTCATTACCCATCTCCGAATATCATTTTCTAAAAGTGGGTTCTTCGTCATCAAATTTTATAATTTATCAATGATAGCTTGAAAGTTACTTGAAAATTTGCTCTGTTTTATTCTTACAGTTCTGTGAAGTTAGTTATGAGCTGATAACAAAACTGCCTACCATAACAGTTGGTGCATCCATTTCCTTCTCAGCTTTAGTTACTTGCTCATCAATTGAATCTTTTCTATTCAACTGTTTATTGCGAGTCCACTCTTCAATCAAGGCCTCTTTGGTCTCCCGAGGCCCCAGTTTTGTCTGATAAGGACTTGAGTGTCCAAGTTGTTTTTCTTTGAAACGAAATAATTGAGTTCGAGGGTCTAAGTTGTCCAGCTTCAGAGAGAAGGTACGCTTAGGAAAATGTTGCAGTTTATGACCTAAAGTGTAAATAATTAACATAAGTAACTCTTAAAAAATACTACAGCACACAAAAATGCTATTAAAAACCAATTCAAAATATACCCGTTTTTCATCGTATTCTTAATGTTTTTATAAATTTGATTTTGCATGATACAGGTAAAACTAGATGTCTTGATGCTTAAACAAAAGCTCTTATCCAAGTTTAAGAATGCAAGAAGTGCACAAGATAAAAACACTTCTTCAAACTCTATGAGACTGTGGGTAAGTATAAGATATCAAGCTGGAATCTGATAAACAAAGCTATTTGGGGGGACGGTTGTGTGTGTTAAAATCTTACTTCATAAAATTCATATTAAAAATACAACAGTTTGAAAAGTCTTCCACTTTTTGTTTATTTAGAAAATGCAGGCTTAGAAACCAACTTACCAACAGCACTGGCCAGTCGCTTTAAGGAATCAGATTTACTTTCCTTTGCTGTACTCAAGTCCATCAGACTCCCTGTTAGGGTGAAACTACGGACTACAAATGCAAGCCTGATCTGAAGTTCTCCTCGTTCTTTCTCTTTCTTGGACTTCCCTTGAAGTTTATACCATCTGAAAAAACAAACAAAAAAAAACAGTAATCTCAAATTAACTCTCAAACTAAAGTCCTATCAGAAACAGAAGATGCAAAGAAACATAGGTTTTTATGGTTTATTTATCCTAATTCTAGACGCATATTACTAATACATAAAATAAAACAAAAATATTCCTTTTGATTGTAACAAAACAAAATACATGTCATTGAGTTAATAAAACCATCAATTTTTTTAGTATATGAATTCAAGTATTGCGGACAGTTCAACAGTTTGATCGACATGAGTGTCTGTATTTGTGACTAGAAACTTTTACATATTGTTCATCACTTTGATCTAACAAATAATGATGTGGCCCTATCTTGTTGAATAGTGGCTTTTCTGTAATAATTTACTACATATTTTAAATATTCAATTGGTTAGATCAAATAATAAAACTGACATTCCAAAATACATGGGATGAAAGGCAATATATAAAACACAAGCATGTGACACATTAACCATTATCAGAGTTTTACTGTGTGTAACACACTATTGTTAGTATAAAACAATGACTTGACCCGAGAACTAAGATGTAAAAGTCTTCTGGCCCTTAGAATATGAACACTATTTGACAAAATGAATTGATAATTACTTGCTATTATTTACTGAAAAACTGACTAAAAAGTAAATGTGTTGTTTTCCCATTCCTTGTACAATTCCCAATTCCTTTCCAAACTTTGTACAATGATAAGCATTGTTCAAGAATCGATCTGAGAAGACTGG